ATAACTTATAAAAGAGATAAAGCAAAAATAAAACTTATAGCATTAGATTTATGTTATTTATAATATCGCAATGTATGGATTAAGAATATGTAATATTTCTACAGATTTCACACAGAAGAATTAGATCATACATATTGGCAGTATGAAAACAGCAATATCTTGCGAGATGGCAATGAATCTGTGGATTCTTACGCTGCTGGACAAGATTTGCCTGCCGAGTATGATGATCGAACGTATTACAGAGAAGAAAGTCTGGAAAGAGATATGATACAGTGTTCGCCTCAACCGCTGTCAAAATATAGGAGAAGGTATTTTTAATTTGCGTTATATGCATATATATTAAGCGGGTTCGGGACTAAATAATGAGTTGATGAGAAAATATCATCGATGAAATCTTTGTCAGTAATTTTATTTTATACACGAGCGGTCGTGCGAAATCATAAGAAATTTTTCATTTTTTAGCCAAGGCAGATCGAGTACAAGAAGGGATTGGCAATGGGAAAAGGATAAAGGCTCCATTTCCGATTTGGATCGTCATGGACATAGATTACGAAATCGGACACCGCCGCGGTCGAGATATTCGCCAAAGCGACAGGAACGATTCCGACGAAAATCTAAATCGCGCTCAAGATCTTGGTCACAATCTAGATCGCGGACACGATCTAGATCGCGTTCTAGATCAACGTCAAGATCAAGACCAAGGATGAGATCGCGGTCGAGATCAAGAAGCAGATCTCCATCGGATTTAAGATCAAGAGCAAGATCGATCTCTATGTCAAGATTGAGAAGCCCGGAACGTGGATTGAGAATGTCTGAATTGCGGTCTTCCAGGTAGAATTCAACTTGCAATCTAACTCTAAAATAGCTTCTTGCTCTGGCATAAATCGAGATAATTCTTTACATATAGATCTCCCTCGCCTGGAAGGAGTAGACTGAACGAAATAGAAAGGGAAAGGAAGGACGAGGACAAAAATAGAAAGCTTAATGTTTGTGGTGAAAAGGGTAGACGTATAGAGACTATAGTTCAGTCAGGGGTTGCATCAGGAACAAATATTTTAGACTCAGAAATGGGTATTAGTGGCAATATGGACGCAACAAATTTCCAATATCTAAATGAGATTGAAGGTGGAAATGAATATTATTATACAGAGAATAATTTAACTTACCCTCCTTGCATAGATGAATCAACCACCAGCTCTCCGAAACGCTTATCGCTTGATGATAGGTAAGGATTTGCGCCAAGTCCTTCCTAATCTATTCCCTTACATATTTTGTTAAAAAATTAATTTTGTGTTATCTATTGCGCTTTTGTTCAAATATGCTTCAACTGCATTTAGGCTGTATTCTGATATTCACTGCCGGTATTGTACATGATGTAAACTATAGATTTTCAATACTGGCAATGAATATCGGAACACAGTCTCAATATAGAATCAACCATATGTATCATATGTAATATATTCCTTACAGGTTAGAATTAGAATTGGGTATTAAGAAACAGCATAGCAAGGATTCCACTGGAATATCTTCAGATTATTCTTCCAACTTCAATCCCAATGTTATTGCGTATCCATCTCCTCCCCAACAACAGCAACAGCAAATGATGTACAGACAACAGCCTACTGTTTTACAAGTACTTGATTTATATAATATCTTTATATATATATATATATATATATATATGCGTGCGTTTATCTATTTAAAAAAAGTTTATAAATACTACTTCTCTTATGTTAAGGTTGGGAATGTTTTACAAGTGGTACCTGCTGACTTCAATGGAATGCAATCGTCACGACGAGAGGCATCTGCAGCCTGTACGACTCCGCCTGTGCGGCCCGGCTCCAGCCAAGTAGTCCGCGTAGGTAATGTTCTTCAAGTAGTACCCACGTCGTTAGACTGGAGTGGCCAATCGACGACTGCGGATCAATCGAATGGACTTTTATATTCCTCAACAGTGCCGGCACCCTCGCCGTCGGCGTCTTCGGTTCCCATGTCCGTACCCGTACCTGTTCCAGTCCCATTGCCTGTTCCGCCTACCGGGACAAATATTCTCGCTCCTGTCGCGACTGTCGCACCCGTTGCTCCACTGCAGCTACCATTGCCAATACCTGTTCCCGTACCGGTCCCGATCCCCCCTGCGACAACAACAGCGTTTCCGAGAAATGAAATTCAATCGCAAAGTACGTATAAATAAATTTGTCGGTTCGTACATCTTCCTGTCCCGAATATTACACGCATTAATTAACGCCAACAAATATTTTTGCATTATAGAAGTAGTTCAACCCGTGTATAATTACGAAGCTATACTCGAGACACGCCGCAAAGAGCGGGAGGAGCGTAAAAGATTACGCGAGTTGCGCAGGAAAGAAAAGGAACGCAAAAAAATAGAGCGGATTAATCGACGAGCTCTGCGATTACTGGAGAAGACCAATACGTCGCAACCAGCAGGTGAGGTCTTGTTGGATCGTCGTAAGGGTTCTGTTGTGGATCCATCGGTTTTGAAAGCATTAAAAGAGGGGGAAGAACAAGCTGAAACTGAATCCCCATCTCAGACTAATTCTATAAAAGAGGAAGAGGAGGAGGCAGCAGCAGCAGTAGCAGCAGCAGCAGCAGCATCTATAAAAGAGGAAGACGAAGACGCCGCTGCAGACGAAGACGAAGATGATGATGAAGACGAGATCGAAGCCGAAGCGGAAGATGATGAGGAAGAGGAAGAAGAAGCGGAGGATGAGGATGAAGATGATAATGATGATGATGAGAAATCATCGCAAATGATTAATCAACATATCGAAGTTGATGAAGCGACAATGCCCGCTGATATGAATAAAGATCAAGCGGAAATCGAAACTACAAAAGAATGGCTAGAGTTACCACTTCCTCCGTTAAAAGGCATTTTGATTGCACCAGGATTTAGGTTCGTCGATATTAGTTTTATCTTCTAAAAATATCATTCTCCAATGGAAATCCATTGTCTAAATCTTATTTTTATCTTACCAATTTGCAAATTATTTTATTTTATTAATGTGTAATTTGTCTTCCTAAATAAGTGAATTTTTTTTTTTCAGGAGAGACTCAATTCCTAATGGCAATTTGGATGATTTATCGGATGTAGATGACGATATCAAGGACAATAGCGACAAAGACGAGGAGACAGACAAGAATAATGACTGTAATAAAGACACAGGACCTGATGCTAAATCTGGTAAATCAGCGAAACTACTGAAAAAAACAAACAGGAACAAAAAATCAGTTCAGTTTGCTGATGGCATAAAACCTGGTGAAGGCACAAGTCCCAGCGGCGGTGAAGGCGACATGCCTTCACCACCACCTCCCAAAAGAATAGATTTGCGTGAAGGACTCAAGGATTTGAGAAGAGACAAAATTTACAACTCACGGAAGAGTAGAAAGCAAGAGAAAAGAGCGAGACTACCAAAGACGAAGAAGAAAGTCAAGGTACACACAATTTATTGTGCTTTAATTTCACAAAAATTTGAAGGAAAGAAAAAATATTTTTTAATTATATTGCTTAAAAAACATCTTTTATACTTTTGCAGGTGAAGATAATCAAGTTGAAAAAACCGCGCGTTACCCCACTGACAGCCATGATGATGGATGACTCCGACGAAATGGATGATCGTTCGCCACCCCCACCACCTCCTGGTTCTCCACCTCCACCACATCTCTGGCCCAGCTATCTTTCTGTTTACAATACAACGGTTCGAACAGTCGAACAACTACAAACTATAACTCCTACCTTGACATCTGTTCAAACTCCACCACCGCCGACTCCATTGCCTCTTCTGGTCCCGCCTCCTCCGCTAAATTATACCATTCAACCTTGCAGTAAAGCTTAAAATAACACCATAGGTTTTGCGAATTCTTTTGATACTGACCATTTTTTTTCTGAGCGCAGTGATAAATTTATGCATTGAAGATTGAAAAGTAAAAGTGGAAACTGTATATTAGTGTCGAAGTTGAAACTTCAATAATAGTTAAAATTAGAAAAGACATAAGCTGTCGGAAAACATGCATTGATATTGTAAATATAACCATTACTTCCCGACCAAGAAATCGTTATAAATCTTAATCCATTGCGTCCATGTAATTTTTAGTAATTTATACAATATTTCCTCGTTAACAGAAAGACTTTTTGTTTCATTGATAGGAAATTATTTCTTTTCCCTTTTCTCTTCTTCTTTGTGCAAGCAGGTCTTCTATCTAAGTCTTCTAAAGTCTATCTAAAAAATGCTTATCTGATTTTTATCTAGCGGACATCTGGCAATGTTCAATGTTTGAAAATCATTCGTTCTTTTTTTTCTCATTTGTTCTTATTCTCATTTCGCTTTCGAGCACCAAGTCTTATCTTGTAAAATCACCAAGATTTTACAAGACAATCTTTGAAAGATAAATGTATCTACTATTTTATTAACAGAAAATGTTTAATAAACATGAAACAGCTTTCTATTAATGAGGAGATATACTAATATATAATTCAGTTCGTATATTCGTATATTTTTCGATATCGAGAAACATCGGACATATTAGAAAATTATGATAGCAATGGAAATAGTGTAATTAATTGTCAATGATATATTGTTAGCAAGATTTCTTATTAAAATAAGGGCATATCCGAAAAAAAATGCAATGTATATACACATTGTATTATATATAATTATTTGTCACAAATACACGTGACTCAAATGCAGATGATATATGACTTAAAATTAGATCCCAGTGCAATTTTTCTTATTATTATATGAAACACACTTAATGGCATGATCTTATCATTAATGTATAATGACTAATGATAAAGTATACATAAAAATATGAAATTTGACTTCATAAAAACAATAATTATATGTATTACTCTATTGCCTTTTTCCATATATTTTACATTTAGAGATTTTAAGATAGTATAACATTGGCAGATATATTTATTGAGTGCTCTAGAGACACTCCAGTAAAGTATTTTGCAGTATCTATAAAAGGTTTAATGTGAGATAACATTAAATTATCTTAGTATACATTGAAGATAGAATCTTAATATTACTCAATATTATCACCCGCATATATTTACGTCATTCAATAAAATACTGTGTCTTTGCTTAGTAGAAAAAAAATATATCAGAAATATATATATATACATGGTGTCCCAAAGCACCCTTGACAACGCTTGTGAGCAGGTAGAGCACAGCAAACTGAACAGAAAGGTCCTGTACCACGAGCGTTGTCAAGGGTGCTTTGGGACACCCTGTATAATAAAAGGTATAATTACAGAAAAGTAATAAATGATGGCTTTATAATTCTATTTTCTATATTTTTATAATTGGATATCAAAAATTGGATTCCACAGCGTCTTTCGAAGAAACGTTAAATATGTAATATATAAAATATTATGCTTTGCAATAAAAAAAGTACATATCGCGTGCGATTAAAGTACATTTAATAATGATAACAGAAAGAAATTGATATCATCATGCACACAAATAGAACGCATACAAGCATTTAAAACACTTTACTGCTACTGACAAGTATATCGTGTCTATATCGCGTATGAGGAGTCAGTAATAGTCAATAATCCCCGACAGTTAAAGATAATTATCAAGTAGTGTCACGATTTATTCTATTTAGACTTTAATTTACAGCTACTTTTATTAATTCTCAGTGTGAAAAAGCAAAATGAAAGTAGCTATCGTTGGTGGTGGAGTCGTCGGATTAACGACGGCCGTAATTGCACAAAATGGATCTCTTCGTAATGCTGATATAACGGTTTTGGCTTCGGATTATGATGATATTGTCAGTTATGTAGCTGCAGGAATTTTTAGAGTTGGTGCTTCATTCGGTAGTTATAACGAGGAGAAAGTAACGAAGTAAATAATAAGTTTTCTATTTTACCAACATATCTATCTTGTGTTTCGTTAAAAAAATTAGTATAAAATATATATCTATATATATATTATATATATAATATATATGTATATATATATATATATATAATAATATTTTTATGAATGTGTATGTTCTATTTCTCAAACAAATTTTAAAATTATAATTTTTCTCACCAAAGATATGTGTATGTCTTATTCTAAAAATCTCTGTTATAAAAAACTAACATAAAAGATATAATAATGTGAATAATATATATACAGTCTGCGGCGAAAATCATGGTATAACGGTATAAACCGAAAAAGGGATGATTCAGGGATATAAAAATAAACCGAAAATGTAGAATGTAAAACTCTTTCTCCATGAAACTTCATTTTCGAGAAATTCTATTTAAAAAAATAAAAAGATTGTAATACTTTACACGCGCATTAAAACTTAAGTCATTGAAGTTTTAAAAGACTGAAATATGTTGTTGGTTTTCCAATTTTTAAAGCTATTTTTCTCGAAGTCTCGCACAAAGAATATTTATTCTACATTTTCTCTCTTATCTATCTATTCGAGATATATCTATTTATTCCCGCTTGCATCACGATTTTTTTATCGCATTCTATATATTTATAATCAATAATTTTTCGAGAAAATGGATAAAAGATTCTTACGAATTTTACGACGACATTCGAAAATCCGATCTTGCCTCTTATGCTGGAGTGACTAATATTTCTGGATATATATTCGCTAATTCATCTCCACATACTGTTCAGGTAAAGATTGATTAAAAAGTTATTCTTTTATCAATAATTAAGTTAAAGATTTATAAGAATAAATCAGAATTATTTCGTAAGAATTTCGTCGATGAAGATTTATAGCAAGAGCATATAATATATATATATATATATAGCGTCAATTTGTACTGATTAATTTAACTACTTCGATTAGAACCGTTGGCTTGAAAGTGTAGTCCCGGTATACAGAAGAGCGACAGAGGAGGAATTTCAATTAGTTAATGGCAATTGGAAATATGGATCATTTTTTTCGACTCTCCTTACACAAAGCAATTTATATCTTCCATGGATTAAGCGAAAGTAAATGACATGCTGTAATTATGGACAATCGAGAAATTTTCATGGTTTCAATTATTTATCTTGCCACAGATTGCTAATAGACGGAGTTACGTTTAAACAAAGAAAACTAAATTCCCTCAAGGAACTAACTGGCGAATTTGACATCGTAATAAATTGCACTGGGCTTGGAGCACGTAAATTATGCGATGATAGACGTCTCGTTTCTATACGCGGTCAAGTGCTCAAAGTATATTATCATCTTTTGCTTTCAAACTTTGCTTATTGATCTTGATTGATACTTCTTTTACTTTTTATTTATGCAGGTAAAAGCACCGTGGATCAAGACTTTCTTTTACGGCGAGCTCGACACTTATGTTATACCAGGTTTCCATGGCATGGTTACTCTAGGTGGATCGAGAAGCTTCGATTCCGAAAATATAAGATTATGTCCATACGAATCCGTAGCGATTCGCGAAAGATGTGAAACATTGGTTCCATCTTTGAAAGATGCGGAACTCTTGCAACAAAAAGTCGGTTTACGACCACATAGAGAAGGCGGTGTTAGAATTGGAGAGGGAAATATCGTTAACAATGGTTGCTCTAATAAAACCATAGTCAGTACTTGGACAGTAAAAAGAGTTACGTATTAATTCACAAATTGACTGCATCATATTTTTTTTTTTGCAGATCGTACATAACTATGGACATGGTGGTTACGGAGTTTGTATGGCACCAGGAACTGCTATTGCGACCGTCGACACAGTCATCGAATTTCATAAAGCTACCTGCTCCAAAATATAATTGCTATAATATAAAATTTTTGTTCGGTTTTGTATGTTACAGAAAAACGTTCTTCTCTACCTGCAAATGGATATATTCTTTATTAACGAATTTGCATACGAAAGTTAATGATCTAATACTGCGCGGTATTGTTTACTGAAATGCACTTACAATCAGAATTTCTGAAGATTTGTTATCAGATGTGAGATACACGTTTATTCCGCTGATCGAAAGACGCAATGAAGTTTTTTTTTTTCAAAGCAATTTAAATCCTAACAATTCACAAATCCTGACAATTCAATTAAAAAGCTTTTTTTTATCAATAATTAAGTTAAAGATTTATAAGAATAAATCAGAATTATTTCGTAAGAATTTCGTCGATGAAGATTTATAGCAAGAGCATATAATATATATATATATATATAGCGTCAATTTGTACTGATTAATTTAACTACTTCGATTAGAACCGTTGGCTTGAAAGTGTAGTCCCGGTATACAGAAGAGCGACAGAGGAGGAATTTCAATTAGTTAATGGCAATTGGAAATATGGATCATTTTTTTCGACTCTCCTTACACAAAGCAATTTATATCTTCCATGGATTAAGCGAAAGTAAATGACATGCTGTAATTATGGACAATCGAGAAATTTTCATGGTTTCAATTATTTATCTTGCCACAGATTGCTAATAGACGGAGTTACGTTTAAACAAAGAAAACTAAATTCCCTCAAGGAACTAACTGGCGAATTTGACATCGTAATAAATTGCACTGGGCTTGGAGCACGTAAATTATGCGATGATAGACGTCTCGTTTCTATACGCGGTCAAGTGCTCAAAGTATATTATCATCTTTTGCTTTCAAACTTTGCTTATTGATCTTGATTGATACTTCTTTTACTTTTTATTTATGCAGGTAAAAGCACCGTGGATCAAGACTTTCTTTTACGGCGAGCTCGACACTTATGTTATACCAGGTTTCCATGGCATGGTTACTCTAGGTGGATCGAGAAGCTTCGATTCCGAAAATATAAGATTATGTCCATACGAATCCGTAGCGATTCGCGAAAGATGTGAAACATTGGTTCCATCTTTGAAAGATGCGGAACTCTTGCAACAAAAAGTCGGTTTACGACCACATAGAGAAGGCGGTGTTAGAATTGGAGAGGGAAATATCGTTAACAATGGTTGCTCTAATAAAACCATAGTCAGTACTTGGACAGTAAAAAGAGTTACGTATTAATTCACAAATTGACTGCATCATATTTTTTTTTTTGCAGATCGTACATAACTATGGACATGGTGGTTACGGAGTTTGTATGGCACCAGGAACTGCTATTGCGACCGTCGACACAGTCATCGAATTTCATAAAGCTACCTGCTCCAAAATATAATTGCTATAATATAAAATTTTTGTTCGGTTTTGTATGTTACAGAAAAACGTTCTTCTCTACCTGCAAATGGATATATTCTTTATTAACGAATTTGCATACGAAAGTTAATGATCTAATACTGCGCGGTATTGTTTACTGAAATGCACTTACAATCAGAATTTCTGAAGATTTGTTATCAGATGTGAGATACACGTTTATTCCGCTGATCGAAAGACGCAATGAAGTTTTTTTTTTTTCAAAGCAATTTAAATCCTAACAATTCAATTAAAAAGCTTTTTTTTTATTTATACAATTATTGTTGTATCGAGCATATGTTGCCTATCGATCAATTATTTCGCGAGATGCATATAAGATGAGAAGTTTGATATTAATTGCGTCTACGAATGTATGTAATGTAAAGAAGCTCATAAACTTATAAATGTCATATCGTAAATTAACATGTTCGATTATTTATCGAGCGTTAAAACGATATCGTCAAATTATAATTATATTACTGTAGAAAAAAAAAATCATTACATCAGCCCACTCGAGTGCTATTTCTTGCCGGGTTTTACATTCTTCCGAGGTGGTGCTCCCCATCTCAATGCACTGCTATCGACTGTAAGACGTGGCCTCTTGTATTGGCTGCTTTTTATATGTTCTTCCACTAATTTGGGTGTGACACAAATAACGTGTTGTCCTTTCCAATATTTAACCATGTTCATACTTTGTAACGTCGATATGATATCGGTTTGCGAGATGCTGGTCATTTGACTGTAAACAAATTCGTATCTCTTTATGTTCTTGAAATAATTGATTACTAATAACATATATTTAATGTTTTACCTAAGATCTTTAATACTAAGCGTTCCTCTAAAATCTCGAAGAATTTCCAACAGAATCCAACTCCAATAACTACGATAAGACAACTTTCCTAAGTCGCTTAAAGGTTTCTCTGGACTGCCAACTGTTTGTTCAATTCTGCTTAATTCATAGCTAAAAGCTATCAATAATTTGCCATAGCCTTGTCTTTGAAAAGGTGGCAGAGTTAAGATACATGCCACATTATTACCATCAGGTGATTCTTTTTCCTGAAAACAGAAGATAAGTTATGATAGTTTTATAAGATTGATTACATATAAATTACAAAATATTTAAAATAAGTCTTAAGAGAGAGACAGTCGAGACAAAAAATTTAAATAATGCAAATAAATAGTACTTTTAGAAAAGATGCAAAATATAAACATTTTTTTCATTAATTTTTTGAAAATTTTAGTGAAGTCGGCGAGAAAATCTGTATTTTTTGGTGCTAATACTTAGAGGGTATTTACTTAAGCATACCTTTGAAAAATAACCGACTAAATGTGCACCATGCTTATCCACCTCACACAAAATGTAAAAAAGAAACGGCTCTACATCAAAATAAAGCGTTTTATGATCCAGGAATAATTTAGCTAGCAAACACAGATTCTGACAATATATCTTGTGTTCCCTGCCATCTACTTCCCAAATACTTAATGTTCCTTTTCGGTAGATTTCTTTTCCAACTGGTTGTCTATGAGTGCATTCACTCTAAAACAAAAAATATATCAATCATATACATACAGACTCCTAATAAAAGTTCAACAAATATATATAATAGTTAATTATATAAATAGTTCTTCCATATTTTACCATATGATATCTGTATGTTTTTTCGAGACGCATATACTTTAAGCAGTATTCGCAAATCCAAAGCTTTGGTTGCTTGCCATATTCTTCTGGATATGGACTGAAATACCATGTGTCAATCTCGTACTTGCCTAGAAACAAACTTCTGAAAATCATGAGATTCTTTTTGCATTAATTGGATTATAGTAATGATTATAAAAGTGGTACAATAATACTTACCGATCTGTATTCTATCTATGTACTTGACTTTTGTTATAGCTTCATGTTCTTTCTCTAGTGCAGCTGTAGTAGGGTCCATTTCTGCATAAGTCTAAAAATAATAAAAATACACATTTGTCAAATATAATACTAATACCAAGAAATTAATAATAAAACTTCTGCTTATGTGTGTAATAATATTAATTTTTGGTATAAATTTATTCTTTACCTTTTGTACATGATTAATCTCATCATGTCGCCTTTTCTGATTTCTAGTAATTTTGCGATCAGATGAGTCTGCTAATAGATCAGTCCCAGAATTTCTATCATGCCGCTCTATTTCACTCATGTCAAATCTGCTGGACATAATTCTGTCACGAGGTACCCATTCATCCAATCTTCTGTTGTGTCCTTCATAGTGCACATAGTATTCATAGTGATTTTCATTCTCATTGTAACGTGTTTGGATAATTTCAGCAGGATCTATAGAATAATAAGATAACAAATGTAATAATATCAAAAAGAGATAAACAATCATCTAATATTCATTTTTTGTTTAAAAATAATATAATTCCAATAAAGTAATGTATACATATTAACTTTACAATTTAAATTTCTTTCATTATAGCAATATTTCATAATGACAAGAAACTAATTAGATATAATGTGTGCTTCAGTTCTTCAAAAATCTTGACAAATATTATCGATAAAAAGCCAGAAATATAACGTAGGAGCAACAACTATTTACGAAATAATAAACAGTGCAAACCATTAATAATTATCAGCTTTTTGTATGAAAACAAAATTTGAAGAAACTTTGCGAATTTAGTCATCTGCACTGGTATACAAAAGCTCTATATAACTATACATATAAATGAAATTATTTAAATGTTAAAACACATAATATAAATATCTCGATCGATATTAAATATTTGATATTGATATTATCTCAAAATCAATTTATTAAAATATACATTGATTATCTCATCATCAAAATATTTATATTAACCCTTTACACTTGGATAATTTTACATTTAGCAGGCTTTTAATCAGTGTACACTACGCAGTGCAAATGATCGGCATTCGTTAGTAATTATCGATCTTACGCACGCCAGGAGTCGTCGGATCTGCGAACGAGATAGTGCTCGCCTATATCGAGCGGCAACTCCTCGAGACTGTCCGCGTCATCGCCGGAGCCCTTCCCGCCATTCGTCAACGTATTCTCGCGCTTCTCTTGCTTCACCATTGTCTCCCTCGCTGTATTGCAACCGTCCTTATTTCTCTGTTCGGATTCGGCCATAATTTCGGTTGCAATTCACGCGTCACGAGAATCACATTCGCCAACAAAAACCGTCCAAAAATAGCCGAACATTGCACAGGTTGACGCAACGATACAGTTAAACACCTATGCACGCGACTACGGTCTGCGGTCAACTACGGTTTACCATACATGATGCATTATACATAGAAGCGCGCCATGATTCTATTTTTTCCACGCATGCGCAGTAGCTTAAAGCAAAAAAAAAATACGTACGCATCTTATTGACTTACATATTATATGGTAGACACTGTAGGCACTAGATCCGCGCGTTATAGGGAATAAAATAAGAAACTTCAAACTTGGGGCGATGTGTGTGTGGCTCCGGGTAGCAAGTCGCGGACTGGTAATCACCAGGGGGTTGATTGTGTATTTTGAAACGATGTGAAAATTATAAAAATGAGGGAATTCACTAGAGTATGATTTAATTTATCGAAATCTAGTAAATCTGTTCACTTTTGTAATTTTCACTTTGTTTCAAGAGACACAATCGATTCCCAGATCCCGAGTTCGAACCCGTTTGAACCCCATCCCCCATATGACTCTTAAAGGCCATTGCACGTGAAAAAATTTTAGTCGTAATCGTAAAGTTGTAAGCAAATCAACCAATGACAATTAAACATTCTTATTATATTGCTAGAATGTTTGATTATGATTGATCGATTTGCTTACGGCCTTACGATTACGATTAAAACTTTCTCATGTGCAATGGCCTTAAAAAGTTTGAAAAAGATTATTAAAATATTTCAGAATAAGTATAAGTACGATATATGTGCGTTTAATAGATAAGATAATTATCTATTAAACGCACATATATCGAGGTCTCTTACATGCGAGAGGCTTTTATTCCTTTATTATATAATATTTCACAAGTATATGTGCCATATTACCATAGAAAATAAAACTTTGACACGATATAACACACAATATCACATGATTGGCTATCATGGCTATCACAAAGAAATTTTCGGGACTTTTAGAATTCTCTATTTGATAGCCAATCATGTAATACGTGTGTTATATTGTGTCATTTGTGTTAACTATTTCTTTCGTCAGGAAGAGACAAAGATTCTGATTCTGTTTTATATAAATATAAACTTTCCTAGAATCGTTAAGCATTCAATTATGCGAGTTGATCATTCCGTGAACATTACGGCGTAGGTGCGAATGAGAGAGAAAGAGATTTTGTTATTAATTTCTCTTCTTTTTTATCTCGCCACCAAAGTATTGTAGATATAAAAGCCGCTAAACAAATGTATCCGACAAATCGCTCTCGCTCTCTCTCTCTCTTTCTTTTTCATTTTTCGTGTGATCCTCCGAAAAAATTTATTTTATACGAGAGAATTCGTTTTATACATGTATACTAGAGTTTAGAACGCGCGATTTGATATTTGAATTTCGCGCCAAAAAGGATAGCGCCACGCTCGACGACCGCGCATGTGCGATAGAAGTGTCTAGTGGGAGAAGGCAGGCAGGGATGAGAGGCGGCTAGCGGAGAGTTGAAGTTGAGCGCAGATGCTGCAAACGCTTTGTCCGGTGAACGTGGTGAATGGTGTACGTCGGTGCTGGGAAGCCGCGCGCGCGTCCGTGAGAGTTCGTGGAAGTCTCCGTATTCGCGATGGACGGCCGTTCGGCGATACCTGTTGCACGACCCGGTCCGGGACCCCGGCACGTCTCGGACGCCCATCGTCGACCTTTCTAAGGTGTTTCACCGGCGCCGGTGACTCGGGGGAGGTGAAGGATGCACCGCCGCTACAGTGTGCACGCGTGTGCGACGCGCGACAACGGAGTGTGTGTGTGTGTGTGTACATGTGTGCGCGCTAACAGTCGCGTCAATCGTCAACGCGCGATCCTTTACGTCTCGCACCGCGTTGCAGCAGCGGTTGCGTGTCGGAGTCGAGGATCTGAGAATCGCATACCGGCGCGAAACGATCTCGCTCGCGCGCGCGCGTGCAAAACCGACGAAGTATGGGAATCATGCAAAGTCGCGGTGGCGAGAGCGATGGCGGTGTTCGCGAGGTATTCGTCGGCGGTGTCAAGGCCGGCGTGCCTCATCACTCGTGTCAACCCAGCCTGGGCATGGGCAGCCTGGGCGGACCTCACACACGCAGCGGCAGCGTACGCAGCGCGCCGAGACAACCGATGCCGGACGCGATCGAGCTCGAGAGGCGTTTCACCAAAGTGCTGGTGAGTACGCGGACAAAAAAAGAGAACTGCTTCTCTATCTCTCTCCCTTTCGTTCGTTCCAATCGTAGCTAATAAATGATAAGGAGTAAGACTTTGTCATCTGTTCTGCGCTCGCAACATTACTCTGCAGCGAATCTCGTTTTGGCAATTCGGATAAATGTCTGTGTATACTCTGGAAATATAATTTCGTCATATCCATACAGAAATCTGAAATTTAAAAATTATACGTTATTGATAAAAAATTATGTAAAAAGAGTTTGATTGTTTTTAAATAATATTAGCGAGAATCATTCCGAATTAATATTTTACGGTGGGCTGCCATTTTAAATGAATATTCATGCGCGCGATATTCATTTCAGATAAAAGCATGATTAGAAAATATTTTAGAAGCAATAATATAAATATATAAAATATAAACGATAAATAAAAATAAGTATATAATAAAAAACGATAAATAAAAATTTCTTCGCATTTGCACGTAAATAATTGCGTTTAACGTTGATATTTCTTGATATTAATTTTGATACTTGTTCTTTAATGATTTCAATATTTTTAGAAATATACAATATAAGTATTTGTGTATCATAAATCTGCTTGTTATATTTATTAATATATTAACAGAAGCAAAATATGCATTGACATATTTTTAATTATTTACACTAATTATACTAATGACAGTAATTAAACATATGTATTATTAAGTAAATTGAACAATATATTTGATAAATTTATCCGACGAATTAAGAAGATCACTAAATTCATAAGAAATCTCTTTAAAAGAGAGATCTGTTTTTATAATATTTGACAAAACTTTTAGATTTTAAATTTTTTGCGAAAGTACCTGAGATTTGTCAAAATTCATATTATATTTTTTCACTGTACATTAGTTTTATTCATGAATATACAAATAACCGAGCTATCCATGTGACTGTTAATTGTCTCGACATCCGAATATTCCCGATGACCAATTAAGGCACGCATTCGGCGCGTGTCTCGTGAACGAACGTACGGCATAATGAACCCTTCACAATATCATATTTCTTTGATCAGGATGCTTAAAAAGAATCGGAATCTAATTACGTGAAACCACAATTTTATATAGGGCGTTAATTGGGAATGAATTCAATGAATTTAAAATTTAAAACTCTTTAAGCAAAGTTCTTTCTTCATTCTTTTTTAAATTGCAAATTACAAATACCCTCCCCTGCAGATGCCTATTTTAAAAGCATTTGTTATAAAGTTTTTTATATATTCCATTTTTATAATCCATTTCATCGCATGAATAAAAAACAAACATAAAATAAAACTATAACATTTGGTTTAAATTGAACTTTAAATTTCTCTCTCTTTCTCTCTCACTCACTCATTCACTCACTCACTTACTCACTCACTCACTCACTCACTCTCACGCATACACACACACATACACATACAAGATGCTTCATATATACTCTGATAAACTTAGGTTTTTATTTTTATTCTTTGAAATTGACAGATTATTAGCAATAGCGCACTAATTTCTTAAAAGTCTATATCTCTTTTATATGGATAATAATCAGCTGATACACTATTATAAACAGCACTTTTTAGTAAAATTGATGACATAATTTTGGAAACATTTTATAACGTGTATTTTATAGACCTCTCGACACTAGAAAAAAAATGCATTTGAATTTTTCTTTTTTTTTTTTTTCTCACATATCGATATTTATATCAGCAAATTTTATCGTGCACCATTGCATTTATAACCGCAAAAAATATGTTAAAATTTCCTTCTTGATTGACGGGTTTTATTTGGATTTGACAATCTTGTGATATGAGTTTTTTAATTTAAGTTCTTTCGCCAACTCTGCTACAATGTTTTGATGCCCGAATTAAATCGAGATAAAGTTGTTTCGGATGACAAATATTCATTATGAATATTTCAACACTGATAATGATGTGAAATGCTTCATAGTGGATATTGAAAAAATTTCATTATAAAAATATTGATAAAGAAGATGATTTAATCTAAACGACAATGTTTTGCTAATAAATAGCTAATATATTATTGGTTATAAATTTCTATTTTTATGATTCATCTCATTCTGAAAATTAAACACGAACTAAATACCAGAGCGATAAATGAAGAATACCATTGCTATATATAATAATTAAAATCTATTTACAAGCATTATTTTTTAATTATATGTTAATATTCCAAAATTAACTCTTCTTTTATGAAGTTTTTGCCCAGCTAGGAATCCGTTTTCTTAAAGGAAATTTCACTTTTATAGTGATAAGCAGTTATAAATATAGCAGTTTTTTTAAATTAAGTTTTAAAAATGCAAGGAATTGTATTCCTCTAGTCTTTAATTTTACATAGATTTCAATAAAATTTTGAATAAAATTTTAATTTAAGTTCTTATGTGTGTATGTGATTAGATATTCAATAACCTGAAACAACAATATTCTGAAACATAAAGAAATTATGAAAAAAAGTTTATTGAGAAATGATAAAAACACAAATTGGTCAAATAATGTTTTAAAATTAGCTTTGATAATTTCAGATACATTATAGAATAGTCAATATGCTTAAATCTGTGATAAATATTGATCAATGGCAACGAGACACAAGTTAGTGGCCCTTTTCCATTGCATGCAAACTTTAATTTGATTACACAGTGGAGTGAGAGGTGTGCAGCGGATAGCACGCATTTTCGTTCAGCTGCGGATCGGTATGACATGAGAGCACATGAGAGATCGTATTTATCTTTATCGCCTCGAGGTGTAACATAATAAGTGGATTGGTATCAACACGTGTGGGGTTTGTAACTTATAGCATGACTAAATATCTCTGAACTCGGATACATTGTGCTTGGGTCACGAGACTTGCCTGCAATCATACCTTGTTTGCAAAGACGCTTTTATTTAATTTATATTATTGAACCGTTATATATATATATATTATATCAGTAGTATTGATAGTAGAATTCTCTGGAATATGTGACGAGAAGAAGAAAAAAGATAGATGAAAAATTGATATAAAACTTAGTAAAACGAGATGTATATATTATATTTTTTTGAAAGATTTATGCTTCTTATTTCTGATAAATGGCATACTGAAAAAAAATTTTGGGTAAATTTAAATCAACTTGGGTCAATTGTAAGATACATTTAGTAATGCATCATTATGAATCTTTAGTTATTATTACTAATTGTATATAATAATAATAACAAAACGTTTGGTAATAATTACAAACATTTCAAAAGGGCAATTTCGGGTTTAGTCGCGCCTATTAAATCAGCCTATTAATTAAATTATTTTGTCAGAATTATCTATATGTTTAGTTGAAACTATTTCGACAGTCCTAGGCAATTTTGATCAAGGCTGGATTATTATATCCAATTGTAAGCAATCTTTTTTTTTTATGCAGTGTGAAAATATGGAATATATAGTTGGAAATGTAGAATCATAAAAATGTGCAAGAGTGAGGGTCAATAGAGGGCAAGATACAAAACAAACGCAGATCATTGGTGTTGCCGCGAACCCTGGTTTTATACAATTAAATGTTTTTATTCGTATCGCGACACGCCCGTTTACGGTCTCGTAATTCTGCTGTCTCGCTTTTACGATGCGTCACGATATAATGCCATTTTTACAAGCTTGATACTATGAACCATATCGTGATACAATGAAATAGATGATTAATTACAGAAATTGACTATAACTTAAGTTAAGAGGTTATTAACTCCTTTTTTTCTTTATTTTACTATGACTTTTACTCGAATTTAATCGTTTTATCATATTATTTTCTATTAAATTGTGAATACAATGGGGTGAATACGTATTCTGGCAAATAAATGCTGGATTCAAAAAAAAAATCGGAGAATTTATAATTTAATTTCAATTTCCTTATACATTTAAAAAGAATTATTGATAAATGAAAATAAAAACGTAATACATAAAATTATAATTAATAAAATCAGTTTGGCAATATATATTCTTTAATTTTGATAGTCACTTCGTATAAATTTTGTATATTTACTATTGACGATGTAAGAACTAATCACATATATAAGCTACAATTGCAGTTCAGGTTTAATTGAGTTTACAAGTCAAAACACGTATGAATTATTATAACTATTAACCTATATCTTGAAAATGATCAAACGCTAAATTAATTGATGATAAAATCCAAGATCAAGCGATGCTCATCCGACACGCCTTGAGCAAAAGGTCGATATCTTGAATTGTCTTATCGCGGTTTAATCGAAATTCCACATAGCGGTGATTGCATAGCTCGATTGTGCTTTTGGCCTTTCATTATATATAGTATTTGATAAAGGCATGATATTTCTTGCACAGAAAAAAATGTATATATATATTTCATGCTATCCGTAAATCATTTATATTTGGTATCAGATTAGTGAGAGATAAAATTAATGAATTTTCTGGAATCTTCTTTCTCGTAGAACAAAATATTAAAAGGTCGAAAGAGCTTGTGTGTTTAAAAAAAGGTAGAGAGAAAGGAGGAAGAGAGAGAAAGAGACAGATGACGAAGGTGAAGAAGGACATGGCACGCCTACGAGCAACGACTCTTACCAAATAAGATTCGATTGTGCATCGTGGTATTGCCAACGTCGTGGCAACGACGAACATATCGTAAACAACAAGTCTTCCCTTTAGCTTGTATTAACTCGACTTTATTCGATTTTCTCTGCCTCTTTCGTCTGACTGTCCCTTCCATCTGGCCATCCTTGGCTCTTGACCTCCGTGACTCTCTATCTTTGTAACCATCGATATAATTCCCCGTATTTCAATACATTGAATCCTTTGTGTGGCCGAATATATCTGCTACTGTATTTTCAACTCATATCTTTGCATATAGAGGTATCTTCATGGATTGATCTCAGGTAGATAAGAGTTTGGAGTTATCGTTCGATAAGCGTATCGTTCTTAATGAATCTGTAGATTTAAATTGAGACAATTGTTCTAATTTGCTACAAATCAAGTTTAT